CGCCCAAGAATGTGCAAATGAAAATTCATTGAGGAACAAAATTCAAGAAGCGACACATGTGTTGAAAAACAACACACAAGCATTTAGAGATTTAAAACAAAATTTCATACGTAGGTGTACACTGTGCATTTCTGTTAGAGGCAGACATTTTGAAAACCTCTTGTAAATAACATAAATGAATAATAATCTGCTGTTCAGTAAAAATCAAACGTGTTTTTGTGGTTTTTGCAAATTTTTTTTCCGAAACTAACAATTTCTATTGAGCAGAAGGTTATCCAATTTTGGGTTCGGTTCTATTTGAGCCACAATTACGGTAGCATGTAGTAAAGCTAGGTTGATGAAATTTTTACGGTAAATAGCTGATACCGTAAGGAAGTTTTTAAGATACTTACGAATAGTAAGAACATGTTTTTTCAATTTTTTATAAACGTTCAAAGTTGTTGCACTTTTTTACTTTTTTGTTATGTTCGAAGATTTTGAAAAAAATTAAAAAGTAGTATTAGTTACATCACTTGAATGATTATATGATAGTTAAGCCTTAGGTCTTAGCTACATAATCGTGAAAAAAGCAGGCATTTATCACAATTATTAACGAAGTTATGGTGAAAATAAACACAGAACTCAAAAATTCTCGAAAAATCCGAAAAAAAATCATAACTCCTAAACTAAACAAAATCGGACCATATATATGGGGGTGATTTGGGTTCCTCTCGATGTGGGGAATCTAATTTTTTTTTATGACGTCACGTGTTTGGCCACCCTGTATATATATATATATACGTATATACCATTTAAACTGGGTGTTCGGATTTATATGTCACTTAGTATATTTGAAAAACTGACCGTCATGATGTTATATTCTGGCTAACTTAGATTTATGGTTAGTAAAGTTGCTTGGAACAACAATAGAAAAACCAATATTTATAAATATCTCGAAGAGTACTCATTTGCTAAGAAGGCAGCATTATACGAATTTAATACTATTTCAATGCAGAAAAGCATGAAATTAGAAAATAAACTACAATAGATTTGAATTTGCCGCCAAGTTTGCAGAAAATTGTAGGCAGCACTGAAAAAAGAACGTTTGACAGCCGAGAGGTTAGGATTAGTAAAAATGGAGCGTTGTTCGATACAACAACGTGTTTTCATTACTGAACAATATTTCAAAAATAATGAAAATTTAGTATCCTCACTTCGAACATTTTATACAAAATATGGCCGGAATAGTTTTTAACCTCGTCAACTGTGAAAAGGTTAATTGAAAAATTCAGGGAGACTGGGTCAGTTGGAGACGCTAAATACACCGGTTGTCCAAAAACAAGCCGTACAAATGTCCATATCGAAGCAGTGCGTGAGAAGCTCCAGAAACAAATATACGAGGGATGTCTTTTAAGTTTTGCATATGGAAATAAAACAACACGGGCAGAAGCATGCATACTAAGTGAAGGGGGTCCTTTTCAACAATTTTTGTAATGATTTCGTTGGTTTTAATGTTATGTTTGTGTTGTCAGTTGTTGTTGTTCATTACCCCTAATGTGTTTAATTTTTCCAATTAAATTAATAATAATTTTGCAAGTTAGACAATAGAACGGTTTTTATTTTTTAACTCTAAAATGGCGCATCGAAGGAAAGCAACTGAAATGAGATCATTTATTTTAAATTGCATGGGGAATTCAAAAATAATTTTTATTTTGCAAAAAACCACTGGCGTATCATTTTTTTCTTAAAAAATATCGAAGTCAATACCCGTACGCACACACCCCGAGTTTTTGTATGGAAACATTTTTGGACCATAGGAAACTAACATTAATTTTCTAGATTCACATCCTTAAATATTCGCATATCATTAAGGAACACCCTGTATATTGTTAATTATTGTTAATAACGGAAGAGTCGCCTGTCTAATAACCCGATCATTTTTAAGATGTCAAGCTTGCTAAAGGAAGGCAGTTGAACGTTTATTGCGAATTTAATAAATACATTCACGAATTAATAAATAATAGTTTAAAAAAAACTAAAAAAAAACACGCTGACCGTAGCTGACCGAACTACAAAGTAGAAAATAATTTTCAATTACAAAGAGTTGGACAATCAATCATAAATAATGATCTCCATCCCTCGTTTCCGGCTTGACGGGACACCCTGTATAATAATCTCAAATTTTCATATTTTTCTACATAAACTTTACAAGTTCTTCATGGGACACTCTCCTTGATGATCATTCCATGGTGCATAGAATCCCAAACTATAGTAGATTGCAAGTTTTCAAAGAAGAGATAATGGCTGATGATCAGCTTTGACATTGCCTTTCTGCTTCGAAGAGGTTTAAAAAAATGTGTACTGGAAAACATCTAATCAAGAAGAAGAGATTCTTCTTATAGTGCTGTCATATCAAACATGCCGAAAGTGGTAGATGTACGCCTAAAAACTGGTAGATGGGATAAATAGTCAGTATACAGGGTGTTTCAGTTTATTGTTGCATAACTTTAAGATTCGATAGAACTTTTAAAATAATACATAAAGTCTATATAAACATGGGTCGAAAAATGCGTGGCTTCCGAAATACAGGGTGTTTAAATTTACTTTCTAAAATAGTTTTTTTTAAATATTTCGAACAATATTTGATGTATAACAGTGAAAATTGGTATACAAGGGTTTTTTGGTACGACAAAACGAACCATGGGCATAGTTTTACTGTAGCCGCTAGAGGGCGCTCTCTACTGTACCTGTAGTGTATTAAAATAACCGAAAATTTTTCCTTGGTGCAATTTTTTGCTTTTTGAATAAAAAAACTGATTCTTCGCACTTCTCTGAACAAAAAAGCTCTCCTGTGAGTTTTCGTTATAGTTAACCGTTTTTGAAATATTTCGATTTTTAAGGTTCGATGCATTTTTAATTATTTATGGGAACATAATATTTTTTTTATATTTTCGATTTGGGCATTACAAGTAATTAAGATGATCGTTTAGATTGTGTTTTTTAAACACAGCAATAATTCCTAACTCCAAATAAACACAAAAAACAGAATATTAATTTGTTTAATTTTCCAATATTATTTTTAACAAAATTAAATTAATTATTTACAACTAGAATGCTATTGGATAGTTAGGACAAACATACAAAATCTAAAGTAGTTGCTCGAAATGTAAACCCAATTGTTCAATACACAATTCACATCTACGAATGATCGAACGTGGTATAGCATTATTGAAATAAGGCCTTATTTCATCACATGTATTCCTGATTCTGTCTATTAGCATATCTCTTGTGGTTACGGGAGTCTGGTACACTTTTTCTTTTAGAAATCCCCACACAAAGAAATCTAATGGATTTAGGTCAGGGGATCGTGGAGGCCAGGCGACTGGTCCTCCACGGCCGATCCATCTTTCTGAATAATTTTCGTCCAGCCAGTTTCTAACTATTCTCGAATAATGAGCTGGACAACCATCAAGCTGGAACCAGGCCAATCTTCTTAAATCTAACTTAACATCATCCCACATATTTGCATGTTCAGCCTTTAAAAATTCCAAGAAGGTCGCAGCATTTAACCTTGCAGGCAAAAGGTAGGGTCCAAATAGTCGATTACGGTAGATACCAATCCACACGTTCACGCTAAATTCATGCTGAAAATTTCTTTCCCGAACTGCATGCGGATTTTCATGCGACCAAATATGTTGATTATAAAAAATTCTGGTCTGGTGAAGCATGACTCATCGGTCCATAAAACGTTACTTAAAAACTCCCTATTATTATCAGTTCTAACAAGAATCCACTGACAAAATGTGATTCTTCGTTCTTCGTCCCCTGGCTGCAGTCCTTGCACAGGTTGCAAATGGTAAGGACGTCTATGGTCATTTCTAAAAACACGGTGAACATGGCTTGCTGAAATTCAAAAGGCACCAGAAACTCTCCTAACACTTGTGGTCGGATCTCTATCAAACTGACGCAGAATCATACGGGTAAATCTGCGCTGACGCTGACATTTATGTTTTGATCCCTGTGGATATTTCCAAAACCATTTTCAATTATTTGGCGATGCACTCTTACAAATACTGAGCGAGTTGGATGTCGTCTGTTTGAAAATCTACGTGCGTATTCTCTGGCTGCTTCTGCTGCGTTTCCATTTACACAGCCATACACAAAATGAATATCCGCTAACATGGGTTGGAGATTAAAAATGGCATTTATTTATATTTATAAAACTTACAAAAAAAAAAACAGGTAAAAGAAACTAAATTTCGTGCATTCACAATTGCAAAAAAACGTTTCTGGTTTCAACAGACAACAAAACTAACTGTCAACTAATTGACGTTTAACCTTATTCTGCTTTCAATTTCAAAAATATTTGCAGGCACAGCCTACTTCTAAAAATTATCGAGATGAATTTTTAACGTTATTTTATCATAAATAATTAAAAATGCATCGAATCTTAAAAATCGAAATATCTCAAAAACGGCTAACTACAACGAAAATTCACAAGAGAGCTTTTTTATGTTGAAAAGTGCGAAGAATCAGTTTTTTTATTCAAAAAGCAAAAAATTGCACTAAGAAAAATTTTTCGGTCATTTTTATACACTACAGGTACAGTAGAGAGCGCCCTCTAACGGCTACAGTAAAACTATGCCCATGGTTCGTTTTGTCGTACCAAAAAACCCTTGTATACCAATTTTCTCTATTATGCATCAAATATTGTTCAAAATATTTAAAAAAAACTATTTTAGAAAGTAAATTTAAACACCCTGTATTTCGGATGCCACGCATTTTTCGACCCATGTTTATATTAATTTTAAAAGTTCTATCGAATTTTAAAGTTATGCAACAATAAACTGAAACACCCTGTATACTAAAATATGATGGAAGCTAATAACCAAGAAGAGATAATTTTTTGGGGGGAGAACGGGCGAGGCAGTGCCTTTGGCTTCCAAAATACGGCACATTTTATTGAAAGAATGGTAGAACTACCGTAAACACGGTAGATCTGGCAACGCTGGTTTTTTTACCTTTCTGATGTAGTCATAAACGTCCTTCAAGTCATCCTCCAGCAAGCAGTAAGGGTCGACCTGCAGGTCTGGTGAGGGCATTGACCCGGTTTGATGTGTCCTCATCGTGGCGTACGTCCTCGGATGTGGTATCACTGTGGTCGTGGTCGAGTCTGCAGGTCGGATGCACGGATGCCAGGTCATTGGAGGTGCAGATTGACCTAGGGATGATGAGGTCTTGCCGCATGATGAGGTTGTGGAGTCTGGTCGTGATGATGATGTGTCCTTCTGGAATAGAAGAGAGGAGGTCAATCTTCGATGTAATATTCGATTTTGAACTTATCAGTTTAGCTCATACAGTTTCCTTTGCCACATGGTTTGTAATAAATTTCTTATAATAGATGATCTACTCTAGTGGGATTAGTTTGGATTTAGATAACAACGGCGACGTTTACAAAGAACCTGTGCACAACAAAAACGTAGCCGCGTCCGCCACGTTGCCGGTTATGTGAAATATCGTCGAACGCCCTGTATACAGGGTGACTTTGAAGTTGAGTCATTAATTTTCAGATAATGATTGTAGAGGGAAGATAAACCAAAATATGTGTGCAAAAATTAAAAAAAAATGTTACCTTGTTTTATAAAGCATCCTCCCGACAAGTATTTCAGTGCGGACCTGTATTTGATCGTGAGGTCCCCTGTGAGGTCCTAAGTCACCTGATTGACGAGCCCTTTGTACTACATTAACAAAGGCACGAGGGGTTGGTTGCACTCGATTGGGAAACCGATCCGCATAAATCCGTGATGCCGCGGCAGCATTTTGTAAAGAAACACTATTCACTCACGCGTTACCGACTGACACATTGACTGAATACAACTGAATAAAATTGTAGTAAAAACATCGTGATAAGCGTTCCAAATTCTTTCGCTTTTTTGTTTCCGATGCGATGAACCGATAAGGCGGATTATATCCGCTGTTGCCAAACACCAGCACATAATATTATTATTGAGACAGGGCGGTACTCAAACTTCTAAAGGGCTATAACTTTGTTAGTTTAATTTTACCAGAAAAATGTTAAAGGAGAAAAACATTTATTTTTATCAGATCTACTCACTGTTAAAATAAATGACTCAACTTCGCAGTCACCCTGTATATGATGATCAAGAGTTTCTCGATTTTAAGTAGACTCCGTCTTGTATGAAAAACAAACAATAATGCAATTAACATTATTCAAATTAGTCACGGCATGGTAAGAACAGCGACCTGGAAATCTAACAAGTGTATCAAACACAATTAAAGAGCATTTCGTTAGCGCATCCTCAAGACACACACACACACACGCTCGCACATTTGTCACTCAAAGGATGCAATAATGATGATACTAACAAGATTTTGTAATAAGCTGACGGCAATCATTCTCGTCTGGTGCCAATACTTTAACCTTTGTTTAGAACCATATTAAAACGAGGCATGTATTTTATAGACACATTTGTAGTAGTAGTTTATTGACATTTTATAGAAAGTCAAGAACTAGGTAAATATACTAAGTGACATATAAATCCGAACACCCAGTTCAAATGGTTTTATTTTAATAAAAGTTGGTGAATGTATTTATCTTACTATAAATAATAAGTGAAAAAATTTTCAGCCTTATCAGTTGGACATTCCGGTTTTTATACTGCTTTTTTTTAATTCACTAACGCTCTGAAAATGAATATTTCAGCTGCAGTAAAGAATCAACGTTGGCGGATTTTGGTTCTTGACATCCTTTACGATCGGTTACGATGCCTAGAGTACGGAGACCTGTACGATTTCGTCAACTTAGTGAGTTTGATAGGGGCCGTATAGTGGGACTTCGGGAAGCTGGACTTTCTTTTCGGGCAATTGCAGTTAGAGTGCAAAGATGTGTAGACACTGTGGTTAGGTGTTGTCAGGCATGGCTTCGAGAAGGCCGTACGCAAAGAGCAAGAGGCACTGGACGCCGCCGTAGAACAACAGACCGTGAAGATCGCCGCCTAAGATTACTGGCCTTAAGGCACCGTTTCTCCACTACCAGGTCCATTGCAAATGAATGGTTTGCAGAACACGGAAGACCTATTGGCATGCGAAGTGTTTACCGACGAATGAGAAGTTTTGGCTTGTTTTCATACCGGCCACACTGGGTCCTCCCTTTAACTCGAGAGCACCGACATAATCGCCTTGAGTGGTGCAGACAACGGTCACTCTGGGATTAGGAATGGAACAGTATTGTCTTTAGTGACGAGTCTCGATTTTGTTTAGGCATGCACGATGGTCGTGCCAGGGTTAGACGGCGACGTGGTGAAAAGAGGAATCCACAGTTTTTTGTTGAAAGACATGTTCATCACACTGTTGGAGTTATGGTTTGGGGTGCTATAGCTTATGGTTCCAGGTCACCTTTAATCTTCATCAGAGGTAACATGAACGCGCAGCGTTATATCCACGAAGTTCTAGAACCCCATCTTTTACCCTATCTTGACATATGGCATATCCAACTTTCCAACAAGATAATGCCCGACCACATGTTGCAAGAGTCACAATAGACTTCTTTCAACATAATGATGTCACATTGTTACCATGGCCACCAAGATCTCCCGACTTATCCCCAATTGAGCACGTGTGGGATATGATGGGTAGGAGATTGCTCAATTTGCAACGTCCTCCTCAGACTCTAGAAGCACTTCGAGAGGAGTTGGTGGTTGCCTGGAATGAGATACCACTCCTGTGTCCTCCTGGACATGCCTAGGCGCGTTGGAGAATGCGTAGCACATCAGGGTGCATCCACACATTATTAAAGGTCAAAGGGCTTTAAAGCAGTGCAATTATTTTGAAATTTTTATCATTTACTTATTATGCTTCATTAAGTACTTATACAAAATTTTATTAAAATAAAACCATTTAAAATGGGTGTTCGGATTTATATGCCACTTAGTGTATTTAATTAGATGACATTTCTGATATTTCAAGTTGTTAATGACATTGTAAAGGAATAAAAGATCATTCAGACTTCGTATATAACTTAATTTAACCATTTTAAATTCACTCAACATATTATATAAGATTATAAGATGATATTATGTTTTTAAGGATACAAATATCTGAGAAAATTGTTTGTGGTGACCAAACTGTTGAAGCGTATTTTAAATTAGGCCTCACCAGTGTTGCGCAAAGTTATTACAGTATTTATATCATTGAAATGTATTCCTACGAGTAATTATGAAGCGTAGAAATTTTCAATATTTATTTACAATATCATCATAATTCTGGACAAATTTTAAGCATACCTAGCTGCATATTTTCAATCATGTATGTAAAATTTAACTATTGTTTTTTACGTGTAAAAGTTACAACATGCCAATAAATGTAATTCTTAGAAATATCCTTATATTTCAAAGCTGTCAACGGGACAAAAAGTCTAGGTTCAAACCCAGACTTAAACCGGTTTAGGGTTGGCCGTATCTTTGTGTTAAGAAGAACTAGTGAACGGAATAAGCGCGTTATTAACAATAACAGAAATGCTTTTAATGAACTGATCCTAAATTTGTATTCCTATAGAATGCTTTTTGTCGGGAGAAAATAAATATATCAGAAATTACCCTTCGAAGTTTTATAGGGGAAGTTTTGAACATCATTGAGACACCTGGTAACCTCAGAAATAATAAATTAAAACATCAAGATATTGTGGAAACAAATCGGTCAACTATACATTCCCTGACCTGCACTAATTTATTAATCATCGTCAAAAAAGTCCATTTCTTTAAGTTTTCTGCAACATATTAAACATTCAGAACGTTTTCACCTATGTTCGACTACTACAAAAGGAAAGTATTCCCATTTCTCCACTTTTTCTACCATAATAAACACCAATGACATGACTCACTGTCCTAGTACTCTTATCTCACTGTTTGTATTGGAAGCTCTTTAAAAAAATCGGCCAACAGATAACGTCTTGAAGCGGATTGGTCAACCTACAGCCAATACGATTGTCGTTTGCAAAAAGTACACTCCAAGGCCAAATAAATGGGCGTGTTTTCTCTAGGTTTTTGTGCTTGGAAGAAGATTTAATGGTTATTTGGAATTATGTTAGCGTATTATTGCAAATAATGACAAAAAAGATAATTTTTTTCTCACTACTAATACCATATTCAATTTTATTAGATTGTTCAGAGAGGAGTTGTTGCGTTTCCATTCTGTTAACAATGAAAGACGTTTTCCAGTACTTTCCCGATTATTAATACACTCAAGTTACAGTATATTCAGATAAGAGATAGACCGGATGTAAACAAAAGTTTCGGGTGATTTTCACGCTAACGCCGCCGTCTCGACGTAAAACAGGAGCCCTCATTGGTCAATTCGCAATTAAATGACTATGCCGAGCGGCAGAGCAGTCGTATCAAGGCAGAGTCACATTCAGGTTCAGACGTGTTACGTATGTCGTGTGCATCATTGCAATTTGATATTTCTTTGGACGTTTTCGTTTGTTATCTTATTAAGTTGTTGAGTTTGTCGTTGTTATTGTTATACCTTGTTATTGATTGTTATTGTTATCAACTGCTTGCGCAAAATGCCCAGTAGTACAGATACTGCCGATGAAGTTGTAAACTCCTGTAGTCCACCTAGGAAACGCTCTAAAAAAAGACACCTGAGTGCAGAAATGAAAGAGGTCATTTTGAATATATATAAGATCGAGCGCGAGGAGAACGAGGCATCAACCATCAAAGAAATTGTTGTGAAGGTTTCTCACAAAGTTGGGGTGTGTCGCGCATCAGTGTTTAATGTGTTAAGACAATACAAAAAAATCACACCTTTTCTGAGCCAATGACCAGTAAACATCGCAAAAGTATTGTTAAATCATTGGATGAAGCTGATAAGCATGCGATTAGGAGGAAAGTGCATGAATTCTTCTTTAGGAATGAAATACCTACTATAGATACTAAGTACTGCAGGAGGTAAATGGAGATACAACGTCGCCAAATTTCAAACGATCAACTTTCCATGCGTTACTGAAGCATTTAAATTTCAAATGGAAAAAACGGGGTCGTAATAGTTTACTACTGGATAAAGAAGAAATTGTGCTATGGAGGAGGGATTATTTAACGAAAATTGGGAAATATAGAAATTAAAACAGGAAGATTTATTACCTTGATGAAACGTGGGTAAACGCAGGACACACTACAAGTAAAGTATGGGTTGATGATTCTGTAACTTCATCCAGGAGGGCCTTTCTAGATGGACTGTCCATCGGATTAAAAAATCCAGCAGGTAAATACGAGTAATAGACAACAATCGGATGTTTTTCAAACCTTGGGAACAAGGTTCTAAACATTAATTCCAGGGGG